TCACCTTGAAAACCTTTAAATCCATACCTCTCTCCCTTGCTTAAAGTTTTAGCCAAAACGACCTCAACCTTCTTCTCACGACCAAACTCCTTCCTCTTGGCAATTCTTTTTTCCTCTTGGCCAATCTTCCTTCCCTCGAGAAATTCGACTCCTCTCTTATTGTTCTTGCCTCTCTTTCAAGTGTTTAAGCTCTCAAATTGATGGAAGAAACAACAATTGAAAACTTAGCTCTCTGTTCCTTTATATTTCTTCTTTGGCTGAATCTCTCCCTCTTGGTAATTCTGTCTAGATTTGGCTTTTAGCCAAATCTCTCCTCTTGGCTAAACTCTTTTATTTTTGACAAGTTTTGGCTCTTGTCCTTGAGAAATTCGAGTCCTCTCATATTGTCTCTCTTGCTCTCTATCTCTCTTAGGTGTTTTAGCTTTCAAGAATTGACGAAGGCAAATGAAAACTCAAACGAGAACCTGAGCAAATTTTCCTCTTTTATTTCCCTCTCTTGGTCTAAATTTTTGGTCCAAAATATCTTTAATGAGTTACATGTTTTAAGGTGGTTATTTTACACTTAGACATTTTAATTTTGGTGGAATACCTAATTAAGAGATTATTTCCTAAATTAATTCTTGTTTAGAAAACTAATTAAATTTTAGATCCTAAGTTATGCATATATGAGAGTAGTTAATTAACTATCTTTTTAAAGTTTTTCGCTTATCAATTAATTCACTATTCACACATAACACTTATCAAATATTAATTTTGCAAGCAAACAATCATTAATAATAACATAAGCATGTCATGTACATAGCAAAATAAACATGCATACAAAGTATAGAAAATAAATTCAGGTATTACATCCTTTTTTTGTTATAAAAATTTCATCATCGAAATTTAACTTACACAATTCCTCAATATATAGTCCATCAATTAATTTTTTTTTACCATTTGATTGATAACGATGATAAAGATACCTACATCATTTAGCTCAACTAATATCTTTAAATACATGTAAAATCGTTATGTTTAGTTGAACAAAATAAATTTTTGATCGAAATTCATAAATACAATTTAAATATGAAATTGTTGATAAATGACAAAAAATTAAATAAAAAATAAAAATATAATCTACGTAATTCAAGCAAAGTCCAGACTTAACATCGTGAACAGGCAAGATATTTTGAATCGTGTTCTTAGATTTAAGATTAATCTTTAGTATTCAGCCATAATTAATTAGGATTAGTTCTATTATTTAATTATATATTATAAATAAATAATTACCCAAAGGTTGAGATGGCCGAGTTGGTCTAAGGCGCCAGATTAAGGTTCTGGTCCGAAAGGGCGTGGGTTCAAATCCCACTCTCAACATTAGTTTTTTTCCTTTTTAATCACAAAATAAAAAACAAAATGTTTCTAATAAATATTGGACAATTTCTTTATTTTTTCTTTCTTTTTAATCACAAAATAAAAAAAAAGTTTCTAATGAAATTAGACAAAAGTTACAACATCAAGTCTTTTTTGGCAACCAATTTCAGTTTATATATATATATATATATATATATATATATATATATATATATATATATATATATGTCCCTTTAAAAAAATTGTAAAAAATGTTTTATTTTATTATTTATTATTATTATTTTTTTGGAATACTCATGGTTTGGTTTAGTATTAAAGCACCAATTAGCAACCATTTTTTTTTCTCTGGTTTTACAATTAGCAACCAAACTGCTTTCGTGTTCTCTCTAGCTACAAGCCTTTTTTTTTTTTTTTTCACGGTATTAAATTACATTTTTCTGTTTTTGGTTGAATGCTACTAGATTGTCTTAAGATATCTATATGTTTTAACTCTATAATTGTAGTTGCTAGTAAACGTCAATTTATAAAGACACAATTTGGCATTATTTTGCTGCCATGCATTCAATTATTTCAGGTACGGGCAAGTCGGCAATGCCATACAAAACCATCAACATTACTATCAAAATAATTAGCAGAATGCCCCACATGATGGGATCATAATACCAAAATCGAGTGAATTTTGAGATTAAAAAATAAAAAATTATGCTAGTTTACATAGATGATTTTTTTTTCCTTGTGAAAAAAATTTAATGGATCTTATTCTGTGTTAGAAAGATTTATGCTAGAAAATCAATAGAGCATATTAGTCTCTCTAACAAGCTGCATGGCTAGGAGTTGATTAAATCCTTCCTCATTTTTCTCTTAAAAATTCTGGCAAGTATGTTGTTCTCTTGAAACAATCGAACAAAATTTTTGAAGAATCAGATATAGTCATTATTTGCATTTTCCAGCAAAAGTTCTTTCAAACTTGAATTCATTTTATCATAAAAAATTCATCTTCATTTTGTCAAAAAAAAAAAAAAAAAAAAAATCTATACAAAAGCAAATGATTGTAGCAAATAGCAAGAGTTCTAATCATCCTATTCATGTATGATTCAAAATTAATTATATTATATTATTCAAAATTGAGATAAATTAATATTTTTATTTATGATCCGATCAATTATATAATGATACATAATTAATGAATATGTATGAAAAAATTAGTTTATCCCAACTTTAAACAGTATACAATTTGTTTTTTTTTTTTTATCATGCATAATTAAAAAAATAAAAATAAATAAATAAAGTAGACACTATTAAATAGTACAAAAACGCAAATGTACTTCACATTTTAGAAATATAAGAGTTATTTTGCAACTAAAAAATAGTACTCCAAATTGGTGTTTCCATTTAACAAATACTAATTCTATGTTAGAAACTATATATTCAGACTCCAAATTGTGCATTCAAAGATACATAGTAAATGTTTCACTAGTTTAAGCTTTTCTTGAATTAATTAATTGTAGAATATCCAAAAACAAACATTCATTTTACTGTAAGGGAAAAAGATGATGAAATTATTCAGATTTTGGACACTTATACTTGCCACCAATCTATTCCAAAAATTGACAGTTCACCTGTAGCATGTCCAAAGTCTACTTCCTCATGCCTCTCATTGTGACAATCCTGTACTTATAAGACAATAATGCCGTCAAACTCTTTGGCATTTGCTTCTAATTTTGCTCAAAGTTTGAAAAAAAGCGAAATAAGCAGACAATCATTTCATTATCTGGGGCCAATCCAGACATTGATTTAACAAGTTATTTTGAATTAACTTTAAACGACTTTAAGTTTACAAAAAAGTGAAACGGACAGACTTTTTTTTTCTTTTTTTTTTTGAAATGTGTTTTACACGATTTAATTAATTGCCAACTTGGTTTTTTTCAAAAAGATATCATAAGATCATATGACATGGAAAACTTAGTTGTAAAGTTGCTATGATATCACTGCCACGACAATTAATCATCCAAAAGATTTGGTATGCTATCAATTTTCTTGTACTATCTGCAATAATAATGTTTTTACCACTTAAAAGGCATCCTCCCACAGATTTATGATGATACTGCCAGTATTTTACTAAAGAAATTCATGCAAGTTTCATGGAAATAACATATATAGAGCATGGATATTGATAGAACGTTTGTAAGGGGCTAGAATCCAGCAAGTGCTAGCTGGATAGATATCTGTCCCATGTCTATAATCTTTGACTCATTCTCATGATATGATTTACTAAATTAAAATTTGTATTTCTTGATAATTAGTCTTCAAAGATTTGTTTAACAATGATTACGAATTTTGAATTTTGATGCAATTAAACAACATCTGAACTAGCTTGAAGTTCTATATTGGAGTGAAAGAAGATGATGCATAGGATAGGGAAAAAAATAATAATTAATTTTATTGTACAAAAATAAGTGTTGAAAGCTTTGCCTTGAATTTAAAAGCACATAATATTTAAGAGTTAGTTTTACTTGTGAAAAAATAAGGGCACAACCTATTATTTACGTATGTTTTCGTCAATTCGTAAAAAAAATCTATATGTTATCACTTCAGTCAATTAAATCTTTATATTTTTATTTTAGTTAATTGAGTATAATTTTCTCCTTTTTGATAAGGACCTTTCTATTGCCTTTTCAAAGACCTTGCATCGGGAGCCAGTAGGCAGAGATGGTTTTACGAGCACAGTAGAGTTACAGATCCAGAATTCTCAACTAAGCCTGACCCAAAAAGGCTAAAATAATTCGTTTATTTGCCAAACTGACGAATTCTGAAGTCCATGAATTTGGTATGATGATAAACGAGTTCGTTTCTAACGTTATTATTTCGATTTTTAATCCAAGAAAGCTTGTGATTGCTTCGGCCCATTCTTGGGTTTGAACCATAGGAAATAGACCAGCAAGCTTGTGATTGTTTTGTGCAAGATTTAAATTCGGCCCAAGATTTTTTTTATAGAAAATCAAACTGAGAAAATGCAATATCCTACCAGTCATTTCACTGTTTTTTTTAACGTATTCTTAATGTTTTTTTTTGGGCCATGGAACATTTTTTTTTATTTTTTATTTTTGATAACGCAGATATCCGGACCAACTTACACGCACATCGACTAATCCAACGAGCTCGAAGTTAACGACCATGTAAGCATTTAGTGGTCACCAAGAGAAGCAATCATGACTCGAACTTGAGACTATAAGAGGAGCAAAATTATTGGTACCAAGTCCTTGCCGCTGCGTCACCCCTGGTGGTTCATGGAACGTTTTTCTTATACAAGCAGAAGATAGTCAAGATGCCTTTTTTTCCGTCATGGATGGAAATATACACAAGGTTTGTTGAATCTTATAGTAACAACAACCTATACATTACAATTTTAATGTAACTAGGAGGTATAGAAAATACAAATCGATTGTACAATGATTCCATTTTTGTTGGAAAATGGATTTTGTTTTCTGATAAAGGATGCAAATTTATTATCAAGAAAGAGAGATACAAGGCCCTAATAACTCCAGCAGACCCTTTAAACCTAGAAACACTTTTGACACATTCTGAAACAGAACTACTACTACTACTAGTTTTACAAACTGTCGTCAAGATCAGTGTTGCCTCTGTTACTTTTTAAGAGTCTGACGAAATTGAATCAGCTCCTCCAGTTTTTGGAGCAAACGTAATCTCAAGACAGGCAGTGTTCGTTGAGGATCCTTGTTAAATATTTCCAGAATCTCAACACCCTGATCGCCATATAAACGTTCGATGCATCGAAGAAAGATTCTTTGACTCCCATTTTTCTCTTCATTCCTAAGAGTGTCTCTTCCCAATTCATCAACATATGTAATAGCTGATTTCAGCCACTCTAATAGCATGTCTAGCTGGTATCTTTCATCTTCACATTCGAAGAATTCCTTTCTGTACTTTCCTGATTTATTCCTATGCTTCTCTCTTCTTTTATCCCTTTCTTTGCATCCTCTTACTTCAAGCACATTAACACTGTCACAATTACTCCAGAAATTATTGAACTTATCCATCAAATCAGGATACTTTCCTATCAAATTGGCAACCATCTTTTTCAATTCTGAATTTCCAATTTTTCCCTTGGTGTAATAAAAGAACAGCTTCAAGAAGTTCTTATAACTAACCTCACAAGGCAGCCTCTTCTTCACTTCCTCTAAGAAGCCAAGTCCTTCTCTAATTTTTTCATCCATAATTTCACTGCCTTTCGCTTCAGATCCAACTGCCTTGAAAATTTTCGTTTCCTTACTATTCTGACTCTTTTTCTGCAGCTCATCAGCAGCTCTAGTGTTAGTGGGGTCTGAAGATAGCCAATCTGGGAGATGATAAGCCAATAGATTTTCTAATTCAGAAAGTGACATAAATTTAATTAATTCCTTTTGTAAGTCAGGATGGTCTTTGGTTAGACTAAGACTAAAATCATAGACATCAACCAAATTCTTAGACCCTTTCTTAAACAAATTGATATTCTTCAACAATTCTTTACAACCATCCTCACCACACTTGATCTTCAGCTTGTTTACAAAATCCATACCCACTCGGTATGAGACCGTCTTACTCTCTGTGGTTGCCTCAGTTTTCTTCTCCTCCTGGTCATCAAGGCTAATGCCTTTCACTTGAGATCCATCTGCCTTGACCAATTCTGATTCCTTCTTCTTTTTGCAAACTTCAAAACTTTCAGGATTGTTTTTCTGCAGCTCATCAACCCTACGTTTGCCAGGTTCTGAAGATTGCAACTTAGGAAGAGAATAGGTCACTGGTGTTGGTTCAGTAATTGGGATAAAGTTAAGAAGTTTCGATTGCAAATCAGGATGGGCGTCTGTAAGCCTACGACCAAAATTCCAGCCCTCAGCGAAACTCCTAGACCCTTCCTTACACAGATTGAAATTCTTCAACAATTCTTCACAACCATCCTGACCACGCTTGCTACCCATCTTTTTCATGAAATCCATTTCTCGATCTCCGGTTGCCTTGATCTCGATGGCTGCCTCAGTTTCTTTCTTCTCCTCATCATCAAGGCTGATTTGACTCTCCATGGTTGCTTCAGTTTCCTTCTTCTCCTCATCGTCAAGGCTGATTTGATACAAAGGGGGCATTAAAGAGTTGAACCCATAAATCAAGTCACGATTGCCTCCAAGAATTGCCTTCACTCTTGCAGAAAAATATTCAGGCACGATTGTCAGCCTCCCCACTTCACCATTATGTGCAGCTCCTGTATCCATGGCGTCTCTCAAGGCCGTGCCAAAGCTGTAGATTTTTTCTGCAGGCTGGTCATATCGAAACCAGGCTTTTAGTTTCCTGGCATAGTTTAGGGCAGCGTCAACTTCTTCACGAGGGAATTGAAAGAGGATAGAATGGCAGTCATCACTGCACTCTCTTTGTCTCTTCATCTTTGTTTAAAAAGCAGATGGACTGTAAGTTTTGGAGAAGGGGAGAGATTTTATGTACTGATATTCTGAGGAATCGGTTGTAAAGATGACTTTATTTAGGGTTGGAATGTAAAGGTTAATCCTTAGAAAATTCGGATAGAAAATATGTTGACAGCTTAGAAAATTTTATCAATTACCCATTTGAATAAAATCCGTTTAGGGGCAGGACAAGAAGAAACTAGATATTATTGCCGACTCATCGTCCGAATTGAGAGAGGAGAAGTTGCTTTCACTTTCCTGAATTCTCAGTTGATATGATATGGCATTAGGTTCAGCATGTGGGAGACGTACATCAGTTTCGATAGGTTAAGGAATTTACTAACGTACTTATCTAGGGTTTTGTAACGCAAAATATAACTCTAATCATTCACCAGACAATCTAATACACAGAATAGAGGTACTATAATACCAGCAGAAGTCTAGAGGATCAAAATCACTGATGATATCCACATAACCTATTCAAATGTAGGAGAAAAAGAAATTTAAAGGTGTAGTCTCATGCTACTTAGAAATATAATGAAAAAAAAGAAGTATGGTTTAATATCATTTTCATTTTTCGTTTTTCAAAACCAATTTTGGAAATAAAAACAGAAAGCTTTTAAAATTTTAATTTCATTTCAAGAACATAAAAAAAATCAAGAATTGGTGGTCAAAATTTTTTAAAACCATACATAATATATGGTTTTAAAAAATGTTGAAAATAATTATTCTATATATATATATATATACACACACAATAATTGTGTATGAAATTATCATTTAAACATACCATTTTCTGCTTTACAATTTAATTTTGATATATGATAATTTTGTTTAAATTCAACTTTGTATAATTAAGTAATACTAATCTAAATAACATTTTTATTCTTGCCTCCCTTATCCACAAAGCCTAACTCTCCTCCTAGTCAAATAAATTATAAATTAGTCTCTCTAGTTTTGATAAATAAATTAATTAGTCCTTCTCATTTCAAACCCTAATTATTTAATCATTTGATCATTTTTTATTGTAATTAATCTAATAATATTTTTTTAAATGATTTTTTCTCATCACTTTTTTTATATCTATTTTTTTTAAAAAAAGAAAAAATAGTATAAAATAGAGTAAAAAAAGACTAATAAATTTTTTAAATAAGATACTAATTAATTTACTTCTCAAAACTAAAACTAAAAGGACTAATTTATAATGTACTTGCTTCTTGATTATATATATTCCAGTAAAAATTCCAAAAAGGAAAGGACAGCCAACATAGATGCGGCAGCGGGCGGCTGCGGCTTATTGTAATATCCAACAGCCAAGGAATCTAAAACGTCCTTGCTTACGTTGGAACTTAAAAAGCAACATAAACTAAAGGCAATAACTATTCTTTCATTCCTTATTTTAAAAAGTAGTTATAAATTAGTCCTTTATATTTGAAAACCTATAAATCAATCCCTTATCTAGTTAGCTCTTGCTTGCAATTATCTTATTAATTAATTTACTTTTGTTTAAGTATATCAATTCTTTCAAAATAACCAATCTAAGTATTTTTTTAATCCAACTCCTATTAATTGTTTCATTATATAATGATTTATCTTTTTCTTCAAACTACTAAATTATTTTTTTTCATTTATTTTTAAGCAAAATTTTCTGTCCCAAATTATTTTGTCATTTTTTACTTTTATATAGTAAATACTTAATTTATCCTTATATACAAAAAGTAAAAAGCTGCAAAATAATTTTGGAGGAAAAATTCTCTTCAATAATGAAAGGATAAAACTATAGTTTAGTAGTCTGAAATAAAAAAATACGTTATCGGAAGACAAGTTTAGAGTTAAATACCTTATTGGTAATTTTAGAAAAATTAATATACTTACATAAAAAAATTTAAAGTTCATATACTTAATTGATAAAATATTAAAAATTGATACTTTTATAATGCAATTATCCACGGGAGGAGCTAACATAGTTCCAACAGAGCAGCCAGCCCCAGTCGGAAGACAAGTTTCTTTTGTTCTTTTGTTCTTTTAGAGTGCAAAATGCAAATATCATTATAATTTGTTACTATAAATAATAATGAATTCGATTATAGATTTGATCTATCTATTTCAAGAACTATAATCAGAGAGAAGTAGAGAGTGATCAGAGCGAGAGAGATGGGTTGGAGAGGGATTTTGGGTTTTGAATATGGGATTGTACAAGCACCATTAGGACCTGATATTTCTGGTCCAGAGCTTGTTGCTGCTGTTGCTAATGCTGGTGGCCTTGGTTTGCTTAGAGCTCCTGATTGGGTATGTTTTTTTTTTTTTCGTTTTTGTTATCCAGAAATGTGCGGAATGATCAATCAATGGATGTGAGGAAAATGATGTTTTTATTTGATTTTAGTTGCTATTTGGGATATTTATTGATCATTTCTTGAACCATGTTGTAAAAATTTGCCTTTTAAGCTATGAAAAAGTGCAAAATTTGAAATTTTAAGTTGTTGTTGAAGCCATAAGTGTTTCTATTTGATAGTGACTGAGCAGTCACTCACACCTACCCTGGCAATGAAAAATAGTTACTTAGGTTGATTCATCGTGGCATTGGAATTCATTTTCTGTATAAAGTTTTGAACTTTAATGGGAAACTTGTTTGGTGGAGATTGTCCATTAAAAAAAAGAAAGGGAAGGAAAGCTAGCAAATTGAACTATGCTAATGGCCTTAAGTTTTTTCGCCACATAGCAATTGTAAGTTTAATTCATAGTTTTATACAAATAGGACAGTTATCTATCACAGAAAAGAAGATTGAGGTCTGAGCCCTGGAAATGATTGTAGAATAAATTGCCTTAATAAATTGGGATTCATTTTCGGTATAAAGTTTTGAACTTTAATGGGAAACTTGTTTGATGTGGAGACTATCCATTAAAAAAAGAACGGGAAGGAAAGCTAGCAAATTGAACTATGCTAATGGCCTTAAGTTTTGTCGCCACGTAGCAATTGTAAGTTTAATTCATAGTTTTATACAAATAGGACAGTTATTTATCACAAAGAAAAGAAGGTTGAGGTCTGAGCCCCGGAAATGATTGTAGAATAAATTGCCTTAATAAATTTAAAAAGTTGTATTTGGGATGTCCCTGCTCTTACCACTTCAAATTGGAAGAGTTTGCTGTAGATTTGCAGAGTGTATATATGCTTAATCCTTGACTAGGTTCCATAACCTATCCATAACAGTCAAAGAATATCACTACAGTTGATGTAATCTGGTCCCATTGCCAACGGCTCTTTTATTGTACTGAGGGAAGTGAATCAATGTTTAGCTACAAATTGTTTTGTGGAATTTGAAAAGAAAAGCAATGTTTTAGCATTACTCAATACTCGATGTCTGCGCATAATACATTACTTGCTACATATTCAAATTTTTGGCATGGAATCTAACACCAGAATGGTAAAAAAGAAAATCATAGTATTTGATTGTCTCAAATTTCTTTGTATCAGGAATCACCTGATTACTTGCGAGAACTGATAAAGAAAACACGGACATTAACTGACAAACCATTTGGGGTTGGTGTTATTCTGGCATTTCCATGTGAGGAGAATCTAAAGGTTATATTGGATGAGAAGGTAGCTGTTTTGCAAGTTTATTGGGGTGAATGTCCACAAGAGCTTGTGCATGAGGCTCATCTGGCTGGAGTCAAGGTTGTTCCCCAAGTAAGTCTCTCATATTTATTTGTGCTAATTGGTTTTGGCCCACATGAGTACTATTTCCTTATCCTGCACATTTGAATTGGTTATAACTTAAAGAGGTAGTAAGACAGCAACAGTCATCTGGAATTTAATCATTATATATCTTGTATTTAGACACCCTGTATTCGTAGCAACACAATGATCATGCTTTTTAGATGCTTCATGATGAATCCTGAACTGAGGCCATCAAAGATATAGTTTAAGAGGGGATAATATTCCTAACATGCTATACAAGACATGATTTGTCCATAATATGATTCATATAGCATTCAGAGCAAAAGACTTATATTATGTTCATTAGTTTGGTGTATTCTCTATGAACTTATTGTTTGACTTTAAGCTAGTGTCTAACATGGCCTTCCAATTTTCTTGTTGATGTCTAACAAGTTATATTTGCATTTCCATTGGAGGTTGGAAACTTTGAAGATGCAAGAAAAGCAATTGATGCTGGTGTAGATGCAATTATTGTCCAAGGACGTGAAGCTGGAGGGCATGTAATTGGTCAGGTGTGAGAGCTGGCATGCTTTGAAATTTAATTTCTATATTTTTTCATGAGATTATATAGTTATCTCTTGTCATTGTTTGGGTACTTGATAATGGCAGGGCAGGGCATGTTATCTTCACTACTCTTTTTTGTTGTTTTTCCTTTACCCGAACTATATAGCAGAGTCGTACCTGCATACTCATTGCTCAAAATTTGAAAAAGTAGGAACAAAAGAAGCACCCCAGGTCAATATAATTTCTATAGAAATTGAAACTTACCCAAATAATTATTTTCGAAACCATGCATTTCCTTGTTTCCTCCCTATGAATTGGAGATGATTTTGAGCAGATCATATATTATCTATTGCTTTGATCGTGTAAATGAAATTGCATCTGTGTGATGTTTATATGGTCAATCAGTATTTAATTTTTGGATTTGGTATTATATTTTGCTCCCTTTTGATATCTTCTCCTACTGCTCAATAATTTTTTAATTGTTGAATACCGTTTACTCTTGACTGTTCAGGAATGTTGAATCCCTGTGAATTTCTTGTTCTTATACTTTCAGGAAGGTTTAATTTCTCTATTGCCAAGGGTAGTGGATCTTGTCACGGATCGTGATATTCCTGTACTTGCTGCTGGTGGTATTGTCGATTCACGTGGCTATGTTGCTGCTTTGGCCCTTGGGGCTAAAGGGGTCTGTCTAGGCACGAGGTATGAATTGCCATACTCTCATATATTCAAGGAACCCAATTGAGCAATGGCATATAGGACGACCAAGTTTCCAACAAATAAAGTATATTTGATGGGATTGGAATACTTCTGTATTGTTGATATAGTTATTAACTCTGAATCCTTTTCTTAAAAATACATTTAGATCTTGAAAGTGAGAGGCTTTAGTAAATGTCTGCTAACAAAGTCTTGCTCTAGAGATTTAGGTGGAATCTGTTATGTTATTAGGTCATACTTAAAACTTCCCATACATTTTCTTTTATGAAGACGATTGAGTTGCTTTGATTAAGGATAAAACAAGAACACTTGCCATGATCATCAAGAAGATTTCATATTTGTTATTACTATTACTAGTCTTACAACTAAAATCATGTGCACATGCAGGTTTGTTGCAACTGATGAAAGCAATGCTCATCCTATATACAAAAGGAAGTTGATTAAGCTTGATCGAACTGAATATACAAATATATTTGGCAGAGCGAGGTGGCCGAATGCACCACAGCGTGCTCTGGTAACTCCTTTCTTTAATGATTGGAAGTCCCTTCCGCCTGATGAAAGTGAGATCAACCAACCTGTCATTGGCCGGTCAACAATAAATGGAGAGGTAAGTCTTTCGCTTTTCTGCTTAGAGGCTTTAGACCAACATAAATCCCTTCTTCTAAATGCATACCTTGCCCCCAATAGGAAAAAGAGATTCGGCGTTTTGGAGGTACGGTTCCAAATATGACCACAACTGGTGACATTGAAAGTATGGCAATGTATGCTGGTGAAGGTGTAGGCCTTATCAAAGAAATTTTACCTGCATCTGAAGTGGTTAAAAGGCTAGTAGAAGGAGCCCAACAACTGATCCATCGAGAATTTAGTAGCATTTAATCCAACAAAGTTACGTACAAAGGCCAGACAGTCTTTCCAATCTGGCCGATTTGGTTTCTTTGATGGATAGCTAATTGAGCCTGAAAAGAAGTTTGAAGTTTTTACCACTTTGAAATAATGTACAAAAATGTTATCAATTCCTTCCTAGTGTGTTTTTTCTGAAAGATCAGTAGAACACTTTTGATATGTTTGGGAAGTTCAATGGTTGAAGCACACAAGAAAGTGCACTCTATGGACAAACTCTTTTTCTGCTCTCAGCAGTAATCAGTTCATTTTGACTGTTCTCATAAATTCTCTAATCCTCGCATGAATCACCTACCTTTATCTGGATTATAGAGATAAATTTAGTCTTGGTGCGCTGATTTTGGACAACTCTCATCAATCTCCTGTTCTTGGTCTGGAGTACAATAATTTTTTTTTTTTTCAACTCATGCATCAGGGCTCTTAGAAGAACTAGTCTTTTAAGATTTGAACTCTTGACTGGACTACATGTTCTTTACTCTGAAGTACAAGAATAAATTTAGTTTCGATGTGCAAAAACTAACCTAAGAATCCCACTTGGTTCATTTGGATGATGGGGAAACTTTAATAACCCTCATGTTCTCCGTGGACAACAGATTCAAAAGGATTCCAGACTGGGCGCATAGTTGTAATTATTTGTTAATCTTGAGATGGATATAGGAAGAGATTAGAGGTCTCTAGCAGTCTAGCTACATTTAAGAATTAGCACTCTCAAGATGAAAGAAAGAAAAGCGATGATATAACTAATCATCCATATATATATATATATTCAACTTGAGAATCTCAAGCAGTGGGAATCTATGTTCCATTCAGGTCCAGCACTTGGAGATGGCTAATCCAAATCACCCCTGTTTTTTTTTTTTTTTTTGGTTGACATCCAAAGCCCGGCTCGCGGCCTAGCGCGCATCTTGATGGCCCATTTTCTTGTTTAGACTTCCCTCTCTCTCTCTTTTATTTATTTATTTAAATGTGTTGGGTTAAGCCAATACAAATCAATAGGTCAAAAATTTTGTAAGATCAACTGATTATTTTATTTATTATTTAGTCGTTTTTAATCTTTGTATGTCTAATTTATGTTTTGTATTTGATGTGTTTATTTAATATGAAGGCAGTCTAAATTAGTTTAGATAAATATGTTTAAGACTTGAGATCTATTTAGTTCCAATAAGATTTTTATCATTGTTATTTATTTTATTTGGTTTCACTAACTTTGTCCTTTTCATAGATTCTACTCTAAATTTGATATGGGACCTTGGGGTCTAGTTTTGTTTTTGTTTTTGTTTTTTATTAAGTGATGTGACAGGTTGATATGAGTTCAATCTAATTTTTTTTATTTCTCTATGATTTTTTATTCACACCTCTTGAAACTTATAAATTTTATGGTTTAGTAGGTGAATTTGGAGCTAAGGTTCAAATTTGTTTTATTTTAGGTTATCTTGTTTTGTAGAGCTTAAGTTGTTTAATTTGCAAATGAGCTTCGAACCCTAATATTCACCTATCTAAATGAGCTCCAAGAACCTAATGATATTTTAAGTGAGAGAATAAATCTTCTTTCAGTCTTTCAGTTATCTCATTTAGAATTAATTAGAAAAAATATAATAATTAACTCACAAATCAGGATAAAAAAATAGATATATAAAATTGAGAGAAAAATCAAATTATAACATCCGGACCAGTGTTGTCATCTCGCTCCTTCTATCAAATTTACTCCTTGCATGTCTTAATTTATCCTCGGTTGTACCCTTTAAGCATGTTATTTTAGTCTCTAGTTCTTTTAATTTTGTAATTGTATTCCTAATTAATCATGATTTTTTTTTCTTCATATTTTGTATTTTTTGACTTTTTTAATAATCAATATTGAAATTAAACATTAATCAATAATAATAAATAAAATAAAATAAAATATGATAAATAGAGCCTAAAAGGGATAAAATTAATACAAACCAAAATTTGGGTTATTACATCCTTTTTTCTATAAATGTTTTCGGAAGTCTACTAAATGTCGGATAGCGACACTTACTACTTTTTTTTTCTTTCTATTTATTAGGAAAAAAACATGAAATTGAGAGAAAAATTAAATTATAAAAAGATTTAAGGACATAAAAATTAAATATATAGTCTTTAAAATTGTTAAAAATTAGTAATATATTTGATTAAACTAGAAGGATTAAATTATAATTAAGTCTAACGCATGTACTTGATTAGTGTGGCTTAGTGTTGCAATGCCTACTCCAAAATAACATTTTTACCTGAGAAAAAATGTATTGGAAGGACCTGAACCTGGACTCCATATTTCCTTGAACATATTCGTTAATTTTGGAGATATAATTTTAAAATAGTTTTTTTGAGAAATAATCTTATGAACTCATACCAAAAATATTTTATTTTTATTTTTGCAAATATATAAAAAATAATATCCATAAAAAAGAAAACCTTAATGCCCGTAATTCTTAATATTTTTAAAGCAAAGATGAGGATACATAATTCACACCGGTAGTCTCCATCTCACCACATGAAGAAACTCTTCACAGATTTACTTAGACTTTTCAGGTTCTTTCATCGTTCAATATTTTAATCAGGTTTTTTTCTCTCTAGTTATGGTACTGATCAGCTAAGCTATCAAAGAATCTGACGATGAGAAATGAATGGTTTTCATTGACTTGTTCAGTCTTATATCTTTTTTTCAATGTATAATTTTTATTATTTATGGATAATAAATTATAATTATTTTTTTGGTAATATCAGTTTAAAACTGATTTGATCCAAAAAAAAAAAAAAAAACTGTTCGGATAAAAAACTAAATATGTTCTAACAGTAACTTAATTTAAAAAATAATAATTTTAGTTTTGATTGATATAAAAATTAATTCGAAAATATCTCAACGTACAATTAGTGGTAACCAAGACAATGCCAATTGATCAGAATAAATATAAAATATAACTGTAAAAACAATATATTTATTTGTTTTCTGTCACTGTTTGTTTGGTCATTGATGACATAAACAGATCTTGTATTTTTATAAAAATTAATTACCAATTATTTGAAAACGAGATCAAGTTTTAATTTGGTCAAATAATACTTTGTGAGTATATATATATATATATCCTTTTTTAATAGAAGAATGAATAGGTTCTAAACTAACACAATAAGAGGATGGCGCTTTCCTCTATTGCATCCTTTGACGTTGAACTTATAGGTTGGATTCCAAGTGAAGTTCAATTTCAATACGCATACAGTCTAACCTTTGAACCTGAACTAAGAATTTATAGATTAGATTCTAAATGAAGTCCAAGTTCAATTCATCTTTCCTTTCCCATTTTTTTGTCTCAAATTAATTAATTGAATTATTGTTTTATTTGCCAATTAATGGGTGCTCCAGTTGTTTTACAATCATAAAAATAATATTATGTTTTCTTGTTGATTAGAAAGTCTATTTCAGCCTTAGTGGGCATAGCTAGATTGTTGGTGAAAAAATAAATCAATAAATCATGGGTTTAGGTCAATTATAAATTACGTGACTTTTACGTGCAAAAATATGTTAATTAATGAACGAAATCTTACAAAATCTGATAAAAAAACCCAATTTCAAATGGACCAAACTTATAAAAAGTTAATTCTGATTTATTATTATTATTAAGAGACAATTTCTCAAATAACTTACTATTCAAAAATAATTTTACCATTTATTTTTTTTTCAATACCTATCCTCTTGAGTTCAGCTTTGGATTTGCTAATTGCACATGGACTCGGAGATGAACACCTCGACATGTGCTTTCTATGAAAAAAGAAGAAGAAGGTGCGTTAGGGCGTAATTTACACACAATCTGCATCCATGTTTGGTACACTCTTGACAGAAAAAAGGAACCAGTCAGAAACCTAATTAGGATAGTAGTTCAGGAAGAGGCCACTGCTCGTGAGGGGCAAGTTGAACTTTCTTAACAATGAGCTCATGGTTGACTTCTTTCAAGAATGTGAGGTACTCAACGATGCATCCAGCTGGTCCTGTGTGCGCTATACTGCGTCAGATAGTCAGCCAGTGTATTCGTATGGATGTTTGAAATCTAGGCTCCCTATATCTTGAGACTAGACTGGGTCAAATGTAAACAAAAGACAAATGTGATTTGGAGTAGCCATAAATAGTTGTGTCAACCTAAGAATATGCAACAAGTTACCAACCGTTAGTTTAGTTTTTCGTTTTCCACATCTATTTAAACATGATAAATCAATAAAACTGTAAAAAAAAATTAAAAAAAAAGTTAAAAAATGCCAAAGCACAAATTATAAATTTAGAAAACTGATGTATCGAAAACTTATAAGAAAAGAATAAATATTGTTGATTTGAAATGCGGATATCGATCTACTATAACTTGTTGAATTACATGCATAAGTACAAGGAAATAAACTTTAATCATGTTGATTCAAAAAATGTCGAAAATGAGAAAAACTGAGATATTCTCTCACAAAAGTTTATTAATCAAGCAAAACTAACGTTTTTCAACTTAGAAGTCTTACATAAATAGTAAATTTTAAATTAAAACCCTAAAGAAATTTAAAAAAAAACACTAAAAATTCAAAATTAAATAGAAAAAATCTCGAAAATCACTAAAATCCCACAAAAACAGTAAAATGAAATTTGGAAGGCCTAAATGATATTTTTTTTAACCAAAATCACCCCTATATCATAGGCAAAGCCATGAATTTTGCTGGTTGGCCAGTTCGAGTATCGAATTAGGTCCCAAAACTCTTAAAATTAAGTCGAAAATCCCAAATCACATAATCATCCACCATCGTGCCACTCTATGAATTACAAAGCCTTTTGATTCACGTCAAAATTGATTTTGAAAAAAAAAAGTTGAAGAAAAATTTGACCTTTTCGTGTGTGTCTATATATATACACACACGCTAATAATAATACTCGAAAGAAAAAGGGAGTACAAATCTTTCTTTTCTATAAAAAGGGACACCTCTTTCCACTCACG